GTTAATTGAAATGAAAGCCATACCGCAAACCTTCAACCTTGAAGCATGCTTTTTAATAGTGAGGCTTGTGCACATAAGACACAGATTCTAATTACAGTATACAAAACAGAAAAAACGAATCACAATAACATACTCCTCATGCACTCAATTTCCATACATTGTTTGAGCATTTCTCATACTCAAAGAGTTTTATTAATTCTCTACATGGTTACTTCTGATTATGCCGTACCTTAGGACACCCAGGACATGTCATACGCGAGGTAGACATTTCATAAATCATTTAATTAGGATTCCATTAGTGAATTAATCTGCCAGCTGCATACCGTGATAAGACAGTTCACTAGAGGGTGTCCGGAAAATTTGCTCATGTCTGTCTGTATCTAAAATGGCTTGTCTGTCACAGCGCTGTGAGGTTTGGAAGGCTGGTTGTGAAAATGACTTGCCTTATGAATGTTCACCTTACGCCACAGTGACAGCGGGCAGATTGCTCTCTGTTGTGTGCTGCCAAAGCTGTGCGACTAAAACGCACGTCACGGTACTCCTATCTGGAGGAATTGGAAAGGCATGAAATCAAGGTCGGGTAACATCAAGCTGTTTATTTACCTGCAAATTCTTCAATTCAGCTCTATGTGGAGGGGTGAAAAGGAAATTTAGGAATCATTTTCGATTTGTTCTGAGGTTGACAGTTTAGCAAGACCGATAAAGCTTGTATTAAACGTGCCAGCGATGTGAATTCCATTCCATTTCAATACATTGTTGACTTCTGGAAAAGACAGAATATATTGCAAGCCAAAGAGTATCTCTAAAATGCAGCCTTTTAGACTGCCAATGATGGGATGGTAATAAATTTGTTGGTTTTGAACTGAGTTCATATCCTGTCTTGTCTTTCATTTTAAAGGCAAAGATGAATTGCTACTATATGTTTGCACATCATTATGGTTGAAATGTTGTAGCGTGGAGCCAGAACACAGACCAGCACTTACATTCAACTCTGACTGAATTCAAACTCCATTCAGTCTGTGTAGCTGCTCCAGCCCATTCCAATTGGGATCAGCAATTCCAGCGTAGGAGAAAGTGCTCTAAAGTTCTACTTTTCGATATTAAAGGAGTGGTCCAGAGTAGAGCTGTGCAATTAATCGAAAATCCGATTTCGATTTTGTCTTCTAACGATTATGAAAATCATTAATCGAGATAAACGATTATTGCATCATATACCACCCCCTTTCCAGTTGCACACATTTGTTGCTGTGCAAAGCTCAGTTTCACATGAAAATAATTAAAAGCGTGTACTGTAATGTAACTTTTGCACCACGGGATGCGCATCGTTCATTGATGTACATTCAAATCATTTTAAAAAGCATGAATGAGACTGCAGGCCAGCATTCGGTCTCATTCACACACTGTGTACTCAGAGACGAGCAGGTTACATACATCTAAAGTCAACTTAATGTGAGAGCTTTAATGGTCAAATAGGTGTCAAAATGCGATGTTTTGTGATTATTCATATTAACCCTCATTTATGTAATAAACAAACGAGTTGAGAACCAAAAGACATGTGAAAGGGAAACTATTAAAGTGACAGCGCGCAATTTTCCTGCTGCCGCCTGTTTTTATCATTAATCAAACAACAAAAGGAGAAAATCCCTCACTGCTCTTGACTAAAGGACTTTTGTAGCTAAAGTTTTATTCTTACAGGGAAGATGCCTAAAGCACAGTTTGTTTCATATTTTATTCTATTGAATTTATTTCCCTTTCCTTATTTACAGGGAGGAAAATATCTGCATTTGCAATAACATTTCACAGGAACGCTAATAATTTTGACTTCAACTGATAATCGTTTAGAATAATCGTGATTACAATTATGACCAAAATAATCGTGATTACGATTTTTCCCATAATCGAGCAGCCCTAGTCGAGAGTGTATTTTTAAGGCTTGGTTGTGATGCAAAGCAATGTGTGCTCATGTTTTATTTGTAGAAAAACCTTTTTTTTTATATAAATCTTGAATACATATTGCTACTCAGCTAACATGAAAACGACTAGTTCCTAAGAAAGCCCTCCCTCAAGAGGCTCAAGAGGCTCTGATTGGTCAGCTAGCATAATATGCTGTGATTCGCATATTGGTTCCACGTCACCGGAAAAAAGCATCATGCCTCTGCTCTACTAGAACATAGTTTTTTATAGATATTCAGAATAAGCATGTCTAAGTAATATGAATTGTTCACATATGAGTTCGGTATTTGAGATGTAGAATGCAGGGAAATTGGCAGAATAAAGAGACACTGCAGCGCTGGTGAAGATTGAGGGGTGTTTATAGGGGTTTAGTGGATAAATATGAACTTGTAGCTAAATTGCTAATGATGACAAACAGCATTAGCTTTTGTTTACATCCTTGTTTACATCTTTGCTAGAACATACCATTAACGCTAGAAACTGTGAATGTAATTGATAAATTTTAACAAAATAAAACTTACAGGTTGTGACTCACAAACCACAGCTTCTTCTATTATGGTTGGAGCTGCTCCTTCTTTGAGGAGTTTTTAGCTGGATCCAGCACTGAACTGGAAGAGATTCTGGAAGCTGTCCTTTGTCAAATGCTACAGCTATATCTTTTCAAAATTCTCTGTAACATAATTAAAATAAAATTGTAAGCACATCTCTCTTTGTGTCGTGTTCTTTGGACAACCAAATACAAAAACAGAACAAGATCTATTTGCTGCTATAACATTACAGCACCTCTAGCCTTCGCTGTGCAGGGTGTATGCGAATAACCTGAAGGGTTTTTGAACTCATTAACCAGGACACATTTTTGTAGTCCCCAAACTTTGTTCGCTGTAGGTTTTGCTAAGCTAACTCTGTTAAGTTTAAGTTAAAAACGTGATATTTTATAGTGGACCACATCTTTAATTCAAAAAAGTCAAAGTGTCAAACATACTATCACATGTGCACATACTGAGTGCTTGAGAGTTCAGTGAATGCAGTGTTTATCTGTGTAACAATCTGCCGTAAACTGCCGCTAAAAAAGAGAAAGATAATTGGCAAATTGCATGTAAATCATATTCTTTGTTGTCGTGCTCATGTACCACCCACATTTTTACTTCAGCAAATCAGCTTTATTTTTTAATGGTTTCTTTCATTAATTTATTTATTTTCCTTCAGCTTATTCCCTTATTTATCAGGGGTCACCACAGCAGAATGAACCACCAACTTTACCACCACATGTTTTATGCAGCGGATGCCCTTCCAGTCACATCATAATAATAATATATCAAAGATAAATAAATAGGAGACCAGATTAGTTAACTGTTATTGATCAGTTCTGTCTAAAGTGGCCTCCAGGGGTCCGTTTCAGAAAGGAGGTTAAGTGACAACTTTTTAACCCTGAAATGAGAGAAACTCTGGGTTTTCCTTTTCAAAATGGCAGCTTTATCAAACTCGAGAAAACAGGGTAAGTCAAGCCTGTTTCTGAAAGAGAGGTCACTTTAACTCAGAGTCAGTTACCGTGGCAACACTACTCTGTAAACCTAACCTGGTCAGGGGGCAGGTTTTATTTTTTAAACTCTGAGCTTCTGTCTGCCTCCTTACCTTTTTTTAAAGTCGAAGCGATGTTTCTCGCATTAGCCTTACGTTTCCACACACCTATTTTAATGCTCATTTTGGATACACGCATAAAAACGATTGATGGAAACATCATGATGCACATAACTTTTGAAAATGCGCATAAAAACATGTGCATAACTGAATAGGATACACTTTTTATTCAATAAGAAAAGATGTGCATTAACTATGATGGAAACACTTTTACAACACAAATTCCAGTATGTGCGTTAAAAAAAAGGTTAGTTATAAGAGATCATATGATGATAAAAATGTGAGTGAATGGATAAACCAGCAGGCTGAGCACACTGTAGAACATTGGGAATGTTTTGGTCATTCTAAAATGCCTTAACTGTTTTAGTATTAGTTATTAGTATTATTAGTATTAGTTATTACTGTTATTAGTATTTTATTATATATTAATGATCTCCAGAGCATCTGGAACGTGTTAAGAGCGTCTGTTCTCCCCGTCTCATGGCTTTAAATGTCACCAAGCATTAATTGTGTGTCGTCATAGTCTTTTGAGGCGCGAGTCATTTCAAGAGTTCACACTTAGCTGATGAATGGTAATAAGCTAGTTTGGCATGCTGTCCCGGGAGAGAGCCCCGAGCTCATGAGAGCCTCGAGCCCGGGGCTCCCTCCCGTTGCAGGGCGAGAGGGGAGTTTGAGCTCGGGTAGATCTCGAGAACCCCCCTCCCTCCTGCTGCGTGAGGGTTGCTAAGGTGATGCGTTGCTGACAGAATTGAATCAAATTGGTGCTAATTTGGATTAGTCAATTTACTTAAGTGTCATGTTTTTGGGGGTGTGGGAGGAAACCGGAGGACCCGGGGAAAACCCACGCAAGCACGGGGAGAACATGAACTCCACACGAAAATGCTGACCGTTTGGGTAGATGCCCGAACCGGAGGCATTTTTGCTGTGAGGCTGCAGTGCTAGCCACTGGGCCGCCGTGCTGCCCTGTAGTCAAAAGAGGAGGCGAAGGGGTGGAAGGGGGGATTCTTCAAGACGAAGATGACTAAAGGTAAGGTGTTTGGTTATTTATACTTGGTTAGGAGTAGTCTGATTGGTGGTTCGTACATTAGCTTGACTCGGGGCCAGCCGTGTCAATCATAAGCACGTGATCCTCTCGAAATTAGTTTATGAATAAACTTCACTTCAAGAGTTCACACTTAGCTGATGATTGGTAATAAGCTAGTTTGGCATGCTGTCCCGGGAGAGAGCCCCGAGCTCATGAGAGCCTCGAGCCCGGGGCTCCCTCCCGTTGCAGGGCGAGAGGGGAGTTTGAGCTCGGGTAGATCTCGAGAACCCCCCAAAGTGCTTTATGCTCGGGACAGCAGCCGCGTATTGAAGAACCCCCCCAGAGCCGCTGATACCAATGCTATATCCGGCTGCTGGATATACAGTTAGGGAAGAGTAGGAGAAAGAGAGGGGCTCCTGCGGGAGCGTGGGTAATCATAGACTCCGTGGGAGTCTGGGCAGGGAAGCTTGGGAGACTCTGCGGAGTCACAGCTGGGAGTGATGGCCTAAGCAGAAGGAAAATAGAGGGGTAGAGCTAGAGGGAGTAGTGGCGGTATTCGTCACTGAAAAGAATAAGAAAAGGAGAGGGGGCGGAGAGACTTCAGTGCTTGGAGGAAGCGGAGCCCTCGACGCCGCAGGGTAGAGAAAAAGTGGGGCGGAGAAACTCGACGCTAAGAAGGAGCGGAGTACTCGACGCTGGGACAGAAAGGAGGCGGAGAGACTCGGGCGCTCTGGGGGAGCGGAGCACTCAGCACCAGAAGGAAGGGAAAAGGTGGAGAGACTCGGCGCTAGAAGGTAGCGGAGCACTCGATGCTGGAAGGAAGAAAGAAAAATTCTAAGGGGCGGGGGTGGACGGTGACAGACTCCGTGGGAGTCGAAGCTCGGGGTCAGAGCTGCTGGGCCAGTTTTTTTTTTTTTTTATGTCCCCGCTGGAGTCGGGAGCGGGAGGGGGCAATAGTGACTCCTGCGGGGAGGGGCCGTGGCCAGAATCGTGCTCCGGGGTGACTCTAGCGAGAGTCAGAGCTGGTGAGTGAGGGCCTATGCGGAAGGAACATAGAGGAGCTAGGTGTGCTAGAAGGAAGCGGAGGTAGCGGAGAGACTTGGTGCTGAAAAGGAAAAGAAAAATCGGAGGGAGGTGGAGAGGCTCGGCGCTGGAGAGAGCGGAGCACTCAACACTGAGAGACAGGCATAAAGTGGGGCGGAGAGACTCCCGCTAAGAGTAAGCGGGGCACTCGACGCTGGGACAGAGAAAGGGAGGGTGTGGAGAGACTCCGACGCTCGGAGGGCGCGGAGCGCTCCACACCAGAAAGAAGGGTGTGGCAGAGAGATTCTATGCTGGGAGACAGCAGAGCGCTCTGTGCTAGAAGGAAGACAGAAAATTGTCTAGTGGGTGGGGGGGGGGCGGTGACAGACTCCGTGGGAGTCGAAGCTCGGGATCAGAGCTGCTGGGCCAAGTTCCTGTAGGAGTCGGGAAAAGGGGGTGGGCGGTGGGGACTCCTGCAGGGAGGTTTTGGGGCTCCTGCTTGGGGGGAATACCCCTGCGGGGGTCCAAGCAGGTGGGTAGGGCCTATGCGGAAGGAATATAGAGAAGCGAGATTTGTGCTAGAAGGAAGGGGAGGGTAGCGGAGGGTTAAACGCTGAAATGGAAAAGTGGGGCGGCGGAGGAACTTCGTGCTTAGCAGGCGTGGAACCTCCGTCACCGGGAGACATAAAAGTGGGGCGGAGAGGCTCGATGCTAAAGAAGCAGGGGAGCACTCAACGCTGGGACAGAACAGGAGTGGGGGTCGGCGTGACTCGCCGCTCAGAGGGAGCGAAGCGCTCGACACCAGAAGGAAGGGTAAGGGAGGCTCGGTGCTGGCAGAAAGCGAGGCACTCGTCGCCGGAAAAAGAAAAGTAGTGCTACTGGCCTGCGGGGCCGCAATTGACTCCTGTGAGCTGTGGGAGTCGAGCTCGGGGGGGGTGAGGGTGGGGGGGGGGGTGGGGTGGCTCCGCTGACTGCTGGCGGAGATAAGCGTTTGTTGTGCTGCTTTGATGTGAAAGCGGCTGAGGCGGATATAGGAATTAAAGGCGTCTGAAGACCACCGGCCTAGGGCTTGGATTTGGTGTTGGGAAAGGCCTTTGTGTGCGGCTGTAGTGGCCGCTCCTATCCTAAACGAGTGGCTGGAGAAGGGGTCAGGGGGAAAACCAGAAAGGCGGAGGATGTTTTTTAAATGCTTTTGGAACCAGAAACGGGTTACCGGCTGGTTAGAATCATCTGTGAAGAGGGGGGAAAGCGGGTTAGGGGTTTGGCGCTTACGGTAGTGGGAGAAAGCTAGAAGGGTTTGAAAGGGACTTGTGGGGGAGGGGAGGTCGAAAATATATATAGAGTGGCCCTTCCTGGACTGATCCGTCTTGCTTTGCTTGATAAAGAAGGAGAGGGTTTCTTTATCCAGCAAGGCCAGATCTGAGATGGTGGGGTGGATGGCTGGGTTGAATTTGTCGGATGCAGTTAACTCAGAGCACCTGAGAAAGCCAAAAAAGGCTAGGTTAAACATGGCATCGAGGGTGTGAGCTGTGTGAATTGACTGGTAGCCTTTGCGGAGGGTGGCTATGCATTTAGAAAGAATGCGGAGAGTTATGGGTTGTCTGGGATCGGGGGGTGGGGGGTGGGTTTTCTGTATGCCTTTGATTAGGAGGTTTGTTTGGGAATGAAGGATGGCAGCAGAAGGTGCTCCATAAATCAATTTATGAAAAAATTGAATGCCACTTAAATAGCTTCTAATGGAGCTAGCCTGGATTTTCTTTGATGAGTGAAGGTGTGATATGAATGAGGTGATGGAGAGGAGGGAGAAATCGGGAAAATGAATGTTAAAAAGTGAGTGAAAAAGTTTAAATGAGTTCCAGGCTGTTAGATAAGATTGCAGAGTCCTGGGAGCCACGGCTTGAAGGATGAGAGAAATAGAGGTTTCGTGGAGTTTGTGGAGAGGGTGGTCTATGGCAATATCAGGTCTGAATATGGAGGCACTGGGGTTGGATGAGGGTCCGCCTCTGGAGCTAACCGCCAAAACCTCTGAAAACAGAAACGAGAGAGAGAGTCAGCAATTTGATTTTTAAAGCCTGGTACATGTTTAGCAGTTATGATAAATTGCTTTTTGGCTGCGGTCCAAATTAACCGTCTTAATAAGGGCATGAGCGTGGTGGAGTGCGAGCGCCCTTTATTAATGCATTGCACGGTAGCTTCGTTATCGCAGTGTATTAGAATGCTGCTAGCGGACCATTCATCGCCCCATAGGAGGGCGGCGACGACGACGGGATATAGTTCAAAGAGGGCGGATGAGCGTAGGTTTTGGGAGGTGTCTAGCATTTGGGGGGGCCAGGGGGCGGCAAACCAGTGCCCTTGGTAGTACCCCCCGAAACCGACAGAAGGGGCGGCGTCGGTAAATAGTTTAATGTCGACGGGCGATGAGATTAAATCGGAATAGAAAAAGGAACAGCCGTTCCAGTGCTGCAGGAAGGATATCCATAATTTCAATTCGTCTCGGCTGGAATTGGACAGGGAAATTGGGTCTTCTAGGCTACGGACTGAGTTGGCTAGCTGCAATAAGTGCGTGATGAAAGGGCGTCCTTGAGGAATAATACGCATGGCGAAATTTAGATGCCCGAGAATAGAGAGGAGCTCGCGTTTTTTGCAAACTTGTTTTTCGAGAAAGGCGGCCGAGAGTGAGGTGATACGGCCGATTTTCTCTTTGGGGAGAGATGCTTGGAATTTATTAGAATCTAAATCGATGCCTAGGAATTCGATTTTGGTAGCGGGACCGGAGGTTTTCTCGGGGGCGAGGGGAATGCCGAGATCTGCGAATACCTTTTGGGTGATCGCGAGATGTTTAGCCGGCGGCGCGGATGGAGGGGAGACGATGAGAAAATCGTCTAGGAGATGGATGAGGTAAGGGATGCCATAATTATTTGACAGTATCCAGCATAAGGCTTCGGAAAGCATGTCAAATATTTTGGGGCTGCTTCTGCAGCCGAACGTTAGACGAACTGCGAAGTAGAATTTGGAGCGCCACTGAATGCCAAAAAGGTGCCAAAAATCGGGATGAATGGGCATAATTTTAAATGCCGAGGTAATGTCTATTTTTGCGAGCCATGCGTTACGGCCGGCGGTTTTGATTAAGGAGATCGCTTGATCTATGTCATGGTAATGGAGGGAGAATTCTTCTAGCGGAATAGTGCTGTTAATGCTTGGAAAGTATGAATTATGCGGAGCTGATAGATCGATAATAAGGCGTTTTTTGCCTGAGAATTTGCGAGTGGCAATGCCAATTGGGCTGATGCGAAAGACGTTAAATGGAGGAGCGGAAAAGGGCCCGATCATAAAGTTGTCTTTGATTTCTTTTTCGATTAATTTATCTACGATTTCGGGCTCTGCGATAGCGGACTGTAGGTTAGAGCAAATTAGGTTATAGGTTGGGAGAGCGGAGATGCCAGGGTGAAATCCGTGGGTTAGACCTGAAACGAGAAAAGCACAAAAAATTGGATCAGGATGACAGCGTAATTCAAAGGACAATTTTGAAACATTTACAGGAGTCGACAAGTAGTTTTTGGATTTTTAATTTGCTTTTGAGATAGGGCAAACTGTGCGTGCATGTGCGCCCCCGCAGTAGTTGCAGAGGTGGAGGTATCTGCATGGCTGCCTGAAGCATCTGCCAATGTTAAAATTTTGGCAGTTTGCGTGGGGGGAAAGGAGAGAGGGTATGTTAGAGCTAGGGATACGGGGGACGTAACTGGTGGATTTAGGTGCTGGACGGTCTGAATCGGTAGGGGAGACAGTGAAGGGGCAGGAGGTGGTTGGGTGCAGACTGGAACGGCAGACCGCGCAGGTTAAATTGCGGCAACCTAAAAAGACTCTGTTATGAAGATCGGTGTCGAGTGCTCCCCAGTAGGATTGTTGGTTCCACTGGGTGAGTCGAATGGCGCATTTGGCGGAGAAGAGCTTGTGGTAGGTGTAAAAGTGAGTCCCCCCATAGGAAAGCGCGAGCTCCGCGATAATGGCCATGTAATCGTTTAACTCACGCCTCCTATGGGGGAATACGGAACAAATTATCTCGGTGAAGCGTGAGAAGGCGATAGTGAATTCGGCGAGTGATAAGGTGCGTGATTGGGTGTTGGCGGGTGGTTTGAGGGTTATAGAAAATTCGCCGCAATCCACCTGTCGCTCTGCCGAAGGGGGTGTGATGGGTGAAAGAAGTGAGAGGAGATCTACGTCAGCACCTGACAAGATTTGGTTCCTTGCTGTGTATGAGACAGGGGGGGGTTCCAGGGCTGGAGCGTTAGGGGGAGGAGGGAGGGGTGTGGCGGAATGGAGAGTGAATGGAGGACGTGCTGTAGAAGGTGGTGGGGGGTGCTGGGTCGGAGCGGTGCTAGTGAGAACGGGAGGGGGTGTGCAGAGAGGGAAGGAGGGGGGGAGACTGGAAGAGGGAAAGTTAGCTGGAGGGGGCGGGCCGCTAGGAAAGGAGCTGGGAGCGAGAGTAGGGTGAAGAGGGAGAGGATTGATTTGCTCTAGTGGATTTGAGGCCGTGGGGATGCTTTGGGGCTGGATAAGTGGGTTAGGGCTTGAGGAAAAGTTCGAAGGGGGAGCTGGAGGCCAGAACGGAGATCTGGGGTGCTCTGATTGGATTCTTCGGTGGAGAGTGGATGCTGGATGGTGGGTTGACGTCTGGGTTTCCTGGGGGTGGTGACTGGATGGTGTGCGGCTGGGGGCGTGGCCTCTTCTAGCTTGCTTCTGGATTGGTTGGATTGATGGAGAGAGTTCTTGCGGAGGGTACGGGGTGTATCGGGTCTTGGGATTCCGGGTTTTCTTCTTTGCTTGTGACGTATGTGTGGGATTTCCTGCTTCGGTGGTGGCGTTGTGGTATAACTCGAGCAGCGCCTTTTTGTTAAGTGAGCGTGGAGCCTCTATGCCGGCGTTTGACAGGATGTACCGGAGTTCATGGTTGGTCATCTGTTTGGGTGGGTTGAGGGAGGAGAAGGCTGAGGCGTAAGAAGAAGCTGGTGAAGCGTTGTGCACTCTGGAGGTGGATGGGGAAGGAGATACTGCGAGGCTGTGGGTTTTTGAGGAGGAAGAGCGGGTTAAGCGGCGGCCTCTGGTTGGAGCCTCGGGCTCTACTTGGGAGCTCAGCGGGGCATGCTGGCGCTGGGCCGCGGCCGGAATTTCTTGGAGCGCGGGGCTCTCGGGAATGTTGCTGTCGTTGTTGTTTTCCATTCGGAATTTGCTGCTTCGGCGAGTAACGTTAATGGCTATTCGACGTTTTAACGCGAGGCTGCTTCTTCAAGACGAAGATGACTAAAGGTAAGGTGTTTGGTTATTTATACTTGGTTAGGAGTAGTCTGATTGGTGGTTCGTACATTAGCTTGACTCGGGGCCAGCCGTGTCAATCATAAGCACGTGATCCTCTCGAAATTAGTTTATGAATAAACTTCACTTATTAAAGAAAAGATTAATGCAACTTCTTCTACCGCAGTAAATTATGAAACTCTTGAGTTTTTAATCTGTCAGTAAATCAACTCTATCTGTCTATCTGATCATACTGTATCTTCAGCAGAACATGTCATTGTTTTATTACTTTTTGCATAATGAGCTTTCACAAAATGTATTATGTAATGCTCTTTTTAGGATTGTGTAGAGAACACTAGATGAGGCAAATGTCATAAACACAAGCAATGAAGTGTTGAGGCTCTACAGTAAATGTACACAACGCTACTCCAAGTCTTTATGGTAACCATCCTTGATAAGTATGACATGGACAATTATCACACCAGACCCAAAAAGCCATCTCTAACCATTCCGCTGTATGGGGGATAGTACTGCCAGAGGCGGGCCTGGTCATAGAGCCATAAACAGATAATAACTTAATGGCAGACCAATTTGGAAGCAGCTGGAAGCAGGTCTGTAGAAGCAGCTGTTTTAACTCAGACATACACACAGGGACACATATGCATGCACTGGCACACTCACACACTACCACAACAACCACAAGACATCTGATATCTACTACATGGCTTATTATATTTACATTTTGTACATGATTAGTGAATATGCGGGCTCTTAGATAAGTGTGTGCAAACACACTCACGCACGTTGCTCATAATCCTTTAACTTAGCAGATGGATTGCAATATTACACACAACAATGCTGTTCAAAGACATTCATGAGGACTGTATTTGTTTTTAAACACAACAATCCTTTGACCTTGAGAATATTTTTCAATAATAAAAATGTATAATGAATACATCATGAGTGTTAATTGTTTTTTTTAGACTGAGAGCGATAAAGAGACTTTGACTTTTAACACTTTATTAGGATGTCTAAAACCAATGCTTACAGCATATTACAACATACCTCACGTGCTAGATGTTCAAGAGCTTTGAAAAAAAAACACATTCAAAATCATGCAGATTTATAATCGTGAAATACACTACTAGTCAAATGTTTGGGGTCAGTTTTTTTATTTTATTTTATTTTTTGAATAAAATTATTCTGTTCACTAAAGTGGCATTTATTAAATAAAAAAAAATTAATTATTAAATACTAATTTTATAAATATTTATTTATTGCTTATTGCATGCAGTTTCAAATGGAATTATTAATCCAGTCATCATTGCTTTTATTATTATTACCATTAATAATAATAATAATAATAATAATAATAATAATAATAATAATAATAATAATAATTGATATTAGGGCGGTTCATTCCACTTTGGCGACCACTGATCAAATTAAGGGTCTAAGCCAAAAAAAAAAAAAGAAAATGAATGAATGAATAATTAATATTAGAGTGATTTCTGAAGGATCATGTGACTCTGAAGACTGGAGTAGTGAAGCTGAAAATTAATCTTTAAAATCACTGCAATAAATGATTTTATTAAATTAGACACTACTTTTAAACAGCTATTTTAAAGTGCAATCACATTTCACAATTTTACAATTTGTACTGTTTTTGATGAAATTAGGGCAGCCTGGGTGAGTGGGATCAATTATTTTAAAACATTTAAAAATCCTACTGACCCCATTTTTTTACCGGTAGTGTATATGTACAAATATCTTTAAAACTTTCAGCATTGTCCAGCTATTTATAAAAATTCAAGTCCATGTGCTTTCTGGCTCATGCGCTTTCTAGCTCATGCATTTAAAAAGCATTTTTTTTTCTTATTGCATAAATTTTAGCGTTTTACAACAAATAATTTAGCACACTCCTTATTTTTCACAATTTTTAAAATTCCAAAAATAAAACAAACATTAATAAAGAGAGAAAGAGAGAGAGAATGTAAATGGAAAATTAGTGACAACAAAATAAATATCTGAGATTCAAATATACCTGAAATTTAGTCAGTGATCCTCATTATTTTTGTCTAAACTTTCTTCTCTAAGACACAGCTTTAAATAAACAGAGTACAATCTTCTTAATTTGAGTATAATATCATCCTTGTGGATTAATTAAAAAGGAGCAGGTCTTACCCAGATTTTAAATGAACATCTCTACTGATTTGAATCCAGGTTATTTCATTAACTTTATCTAGGTTAACTAAATTTGTCTTCAAATTTTACTTTATTGTTCACTCATTTACTACACTATGTTTTACCTAATGCAGTGATTTATTTTATTTATTTTTTTATTACAAATTCAGAATTATATGCCCATATGTCTGGCAGACCAATAGGGCAAAACTGAATTCATAACCCCTTTGGGATGCACAGTCCCATTCCTCATTAGTTCAGGCTAACTTCAGCATGGAATAAGACATCTCTGCAAAGATCCTTGTTGTTTGGTTTAAAAAGCTAACAGCTTATGCACATGGTCTCACCATTATTTTGTAAGGAATCAATTAGCATTCCTAAACTGCACTGTATATAAATCAATGCATTTGTTATGTGACAAATTCTCAGGCGATGCATTAATATGCATATGTTTTGAGCATAAATTATGGATCAGAGGGCAGTTATGGTCCCATCGCTTCAGGACACATATTGCCCTCTGCTGGTTGCAGCAGCACTCGTCTGCGGTCTGGGACGACATGTCTAAAGTCCTCATTAGAAAACCGTTGTGCACATTCCCCCGGCCACAAGCTAAGATACTGTAATTTTGTGGCTTGGACGGCTCTGCTCTCTCGCAGGAGTTCTCCGCTCCACTTACTGATTTACTGTACTGATCTCATAAGCACAACTCACACTGTTCATATTACTGCTGTCCACCCCAAACACAATGCATCAATCAAACCCACACCTGTAATATTGTATTTTCTAAAACATCCCCATTACTTAGGGAATATGAGAGTTGGCAGCTTTGAAACTTAACAGTCTTATCATTCTTGTATTGACTTGTAAGCCTATTTCAGGGAAGAGACAGCAGCATCCTGTGCAAAAATAAAATCCTGTGGGTATCGCTTGGTGTCAAAACAAGAAGAAGCAACTATTTGTTAAAGTAAACTAAGGAATGTGTCTAAACACTTTTTTTTCCCTGATACACAGTATATTCAGGTAAATGCATTCCTGAAGTGGCCATGTTATGTATTATTTTCGAGGTTACTTCAGACGTAAAGCTATCCGCTTGTTAAGTCCAACCCAAGCTCGTTCTGGAAACGTAGCCCCGCGGACGTTTCTGGAGACATTTACGTGGCTGGAGATACGTAAAGGCCGCGTTTGGTTTTTTTCGAGCGAACGCTGCGGGGCGGTGTGGCGCCGCTCCGCCCCTCCTCTTCGCGCTCGCCAGCCGACGGCTCGCCTCCGAGTGGAGGGCTTTCCCGACGCAATCAGTTTGTCCGCCTAGCTCACAGCGTTGCGTCAGCGGAGCGGAGGCCCCGGAGGAGGAGGAGGAGCCGGAGCCGGCCGCGGTGGACGACGACCGGGATCGAGTCCGGGGAACAGCGGGTTCTGGAAATCAGGTAAGATGAAAGACGGAATCCGGAAAATAAGGGCAAGAACGCGGCGTATAATATATATGCAGCAAGTCCAGAAACTGTCGTGTACACCATGGTTTTACATAAAATTCACTTTAATGTGTGATATTAAATTCGTTATAAACTAATATTTTTTTTAAACATTCAAATGAGTCACAGCTTCGACCCGGGAACAGTATTTCATTTGTCACAACATAACAAGCGGATATGTGAATTTGCCTGTATACCCTCGTTCACTATTCCCTCTATCAGTGCACTAATATGGTTTGCTTAAATGAGTAAATTAAAATGAGTGAATTTAATGTTAAAATACCTATTTAACACGTAGCAAGCTATTTTTATTGATACATTCATTCATTCATTTTCTTTTCAGCTTGGTCTCTTTATTAATTTGGGGTCACCACAGAATTGGAATGAACCACCAACTTATTCAGCATATGTATTTATGCAGTGGATGCCCTTTTACTTGCAACCCATATCTGGGAAACATCCATGCACACTCAAAATGTTTGTTCATGTGAATGCAATGTGTATTAACAAAATTATATGGCTAGTTTTGATTTCTTGGGGACTTCAAATTAACAATTAAATGCTTTATTTAGCCAATTATAGGAATCTGCTGTGAATGCCATCTTGAGGTCAGATACACATTGTTACAACACATTGTTATGTATGTACACATATTATTGTAGTGCACTGTGGGATTGATTGAATGCATTTTGGAATGTCCACTATGGTTTCAAACATTATTACAAATGGCTGCTTTCCCAAATAATGCAGTTTTTAAGGCTAAAGAGGGAAATCTGCATTTCCATATCTGCAATTGATATGATTTGTATTCAAAGTGATGCAAACCGTAATGATGCTGTCATTTTTTCTTTATCAATTTGAATTACAGTCCAATTCTTTGGAAGCGCATGTAAAGTGGATTCTTCATTGCAGCACAGAAACAATGTCTTCTTAAAATGTCAGGTTTAATTACAGTGTTTATAAGTGGGTCGCTTAAACACAATGTTTGTGGTTTGGTTTTGATTGGCTTTATGCAAATGTGATGCAGACCTAGATAAGGAAAGTATGCAAGTAAAAAGGAATTTATGCAGTCTTTTTTCTTAAATGTATGTTTTTGTTATTGAGAAAAAAGTATAAAGCAGCACAGGCAGTGTTTGGATGTTTGTAACAGTATCACTGCACACATATTTCTCATTTCTTTTTATTTCTAAACAAAAAACAAAGTACTTCCTGTGATTATTTCAGGGTATTGAGTGTAAATGACAGGCTGCTGGTTGCAGTTCATTTTATAACCAACAGTGTTACTAATAACAAGTTTATTTAACAAGAGAGAAGTCTACATTGAGCAACTTTTTAAAGTGAATTATTGTATGTATCAGGTTCACCAAAATGTTTCTGTAAATATCCACTTTTTTGTCTTCTTAAATTCAAATA